GGTGCGGCGGGAGGTGGACGCGGCCTTGTCTCCGGCGGGGCCGGGGGCGGCGCCCGCCGGCGGAGGGGCCCAGCGGGACTTGCGCGGCGCCATGCCGGCGGGGGGCTTGGCGGAGGTGGAGGCGGAGGGCTTGGAGAGGGGAGGGTTAGGTTTCTTCATCGCTCGCTAGGGATCGCGGCGGAATTTGGAATTGGGGGGATGGGATTCGATTCGGGGCGTCGGAGAAGAAAGTGTTCTCTTTTTATTTTCCCTTTCTCTACAGTTTCAGTCCGAGGGAAACAAGGGAAATTAACTCTTTTTTTTAGGGGTTCATGGAAAATTAGCTTGCCTGCAAAATGCAAGGCACGCGCTGAGGGCCGGCCGGCCGGCCCAAATTTAGACCGGTAGCGGCGCGTACGTTCGATGCATCCTTTTCTTTTCTTTCAGGACAACTTCCGCTCTACTATCTCCATCCTGGGTTATTGGTCATTTTTGTATTTTATGCTAAAATTTAATCATAGATTTAACTGAAAAATATTAATACATGCCATTAAAAATTATATCGTCGGATTCATAATTGAAAATACTCCCTCTGTACCGAAATACATGTCGCTGGAGTAGCTAAACTTCAGCTACTTCAGCTACTCCTATCACCTAGCATGTGATTTTTCGCATATTGTTTTTTAGCATGCTCCTTGAAAGACTAATCGTGTTGCACATGATTTAGCCAAACTAGCTAGAAGTAAGGTGCGTGCATGATGGATGAAAGATCCGGCCGTAGAGATAGTTGACACTCTTGTAAATGATAATATGGTGGTCACCTTGTAATAATGAGTACTTTGATGTCAAAAAAAAGTAGTGCAAAGAGTACCAGAAGTAAAAATTGCATCTAGGTTCATAGACCACCTACCAATGGCTACTAACACTAGAGCGAGTCGAAGGCGCGCCGTTGTCTAAACCCCTCCCTCATCAGAGTCAGGCAAACCTTATTGTACTATACAGTCGGAAAATCGTCGTGCTAAAGCCCATAGGACCAGCGCACCAGAATGGCAACCACCGCCGATGAAGGGAAGCATTGATCGGAATGATCCAACCTATAGACACACGTACACAGATGAACGAAGACAAGATCCACGTGGATCCATCGAAGACAAACGTCGACCGAATCCCGCGACATCCGCCGAAGGAAAACCTTCACATGCTCAGTGGCGAAGCCAGAAAGTTTCTTTAGCCTGGGCAAACTTGATCCTAAGTGTCTGGTCTGAAAATCATAATTGAGCGCTTCGATAAACAACATATAAAATAGTCCCAAACTTTTGAACCATAAATCTATATTAATAATAAGTAAAAAACAAATATAATTTTAGAGTGAACTAATATAGCATATATCAATATATTGGACCCTTCAATATATATATACTCGCCTCACTTGGTCTTGAGTATCAAGATGATGCTCAGTTTTCTCTTTTGCGTATCACACTCAATCTCATTTGAATTAAACTCATTGGCATTGTTAGCTGGTGGCAGTGGATCTACTTCTATTTCTGTTGTTCACCATTCCATTTTCATTGGTTGCTCTATTGGCAAACAACCTCGTCTATACAAGTTAGTGATTCGAATTTTAGAGTTAACACCCAGCTATTAGGAAAAAAAATCTATAAAAAGGCTAGGTTCACAAAGTCGTTATCATTCCAATGGATAACTTCCACCTATGAATTGCAAAAATGTCCTACATTTTAGTACGGAGGAGTACATTGATAACTCACAAGTATAAGGGATCACAATAATTTCCGAGGGTAGAGTATTCAATCCAAATTTGTTGATTCGACACACGAGGAGCCAAAGAATATTCACGAGTATTAGCAGTTGAGTTGTCAATTCAACCACACCTGAAAAACTTAATATCTACAGCAAAGTATTTAGTAGTAAAGTAGTATAGAAGTAACGGTAACGGTAGCAAAAGTAACATAAGCAGTTTTGTAGTGATTGTGAGAGCAGCATGGCAAAAGTAACTTAGCGATCAATATGTGAAAAGCTCGTAGGTAATGGATCAGCAATGATAATTGTGTTGAATGATATTCATCATGTAGCAGTCATAACCTAGGGTGACACAGAACTAGCTCCAATTCATCAATATAATGTAAGCATGTATTACATATATAGTCATACGTGCTTATGGAAAAGAACTTGCATGACATCTTTTGTCCTACCCTCCCGTGACAGCGGGGTCCTAATGGAAACCAAGGGATATTAAGGCCTCCTTTTAATATAGAACCGGAACAAAGCATTATCACTTAGTGAATATATGAACTCCTCAAACTACGGTAATTAACGGAAAGAATCCTAATTATTGTCACCTTGGGGTATGCAGATCATAACTCGTAATAGGTGTCTACAACTTGCAAGATAGGATCAAGAACACAAATATATTCATGAAAACATAATAGGTTCAGATATGAAATCATGGCACTCGGGCCCTATGACAAGCATTAAGCATAGCAAAGTCATAGCAACATCAATCTCAGAACATAGTGGATACTAGGGATCAAACCCTAACAAAAATAACTCAATTACATGATAAATCTCATCCAACCGATCACTGTCCAACAAGCCTATGATGGAATTACTCACGCACGGCAGTGAGCATCATAAAATTGGTGATGGAGAAAGGTTGGTGATGATGATGGCCATGAATCCCCCTCTCCGTAGCCCCGAACGAACTCCAGATCAGCCCTCCCAATGGAGAACAAGAGGCGGCGGTGGCTCTGTATCGTAAAATATGATGAATCATTCTCTCCGATTTTTCCCCACGAATAGGTATTTATAGAGTTGGAATTAAGGTCCGAGGAGGTCTAGGGGGCCCACAAGCTTATAGGGCACGCCCCCAGGGCTTGTGGCCTCTGGGTGGCCATCCTCTGGTAACTTCTTGCGCCAATATTTTTCATATATTCCACAAAAAATCTCCGTAATTTTTCAGGTCAATCTAAGAACTTTTATTTCTGCACAAAAATAACACCATGGCAATTCTGGTGGAAACAGCGTCAGTCCGTGTTAGTTCCATTCAAATCATGCAAATTAGAAACCAAAACAAGGGCAAAAGAGTTTGGAAAAGTAGATACGATGGAGACGTATCGACTCCCCCAAGCTTAACCCATTGCTTGTCCTCAAGCAATTCAATTGACAAACTGAAAGTGACAAAGTAAAACTTCTACAAACTCTGTTTGATCTTGTTATTGCAAATATGTCTAGCCAGTGTTCAGGTTTTCAGCAAAGATTGTGAACTAACCATACTCACAAAAATATTTAGGTCTCACATTTACTCATGTCAATAGCATAATCAACCAGCGAGTAATAATAATAAATACCAAATGACAACACTTTTTCAAAACAATCATGATATAATACGACATAGTGGTATCTCGCTAGCCCTTTCTAAGCCGCAATACATAAATGTAAAGCACCCCTGAAGGTCAAGGACTAACTAGACATTATAATTCATGGCAAAAGAAATCTAGTCACTCCCATACTCAACATCAATTAAAAACAAAGCATATAAATGACAATAGTGCTCTCCAGTTGGTGCTTTTAATAAGAGGATGATGACTCAACAATAAAAATAAATGGATAGGCCGTTCGCAGAGGGAAGCAGGGATTTGCAGAGGTGCCAGAGCTCGAAGCTTTTAAAACGGAGATGAATATAATTTTAAGCAGCATGTTTTCATTGTCAACATAACAACCAAGAGATCTCACTATCTTCCATGCTAGACACATTATAGACGGTTCCCAAATAGAATGGTAAAGTTTGTACTCCCCCTCCACCAACAATCACACTCCATGACTAGCTGAATCCACACACTACTAGGGAAAACCTTATACACAGCATCTTAGCAGTAGCGCTGGATAAATATGAGTGCTACTGCTAATTAGTAGTAGCGCATTTAAATAAACCGCGCTAATACTACTACTTTAGTAGTAGCGCGTGCTATGACAATGTGTTGCTGCTATGTTTGTACTGGGTGCAGATGGATAGCCCCACTTAGTAGTAGCGAGTATCTCTGGCCAGCGCTACTGCTACGTCCCATAGCAGTAGCGCGTGCTAGGAAAATGCGCTACTACTCAATTACCTTATCCTACATGCGCCCGACCCTCCCACTCACTCTCCCTCTCACTCTCACTCTCGCCCGTGCCGGTTCCGTTGTCCGCCACCGTCGCGCTGCTCCTCTCCACCGAGGTATTCCCTTCGTCCCGCCTCCTTCCTCCTCCCTCCTCCCCTCCCTCCAGCTGCCCTCCTCCCACCGCCCCTCCCTCCTCCTCCTCCTTCGGCCGCCTCCTTC